GCAGGGCATTTCCTCTTGTGTGAATTAGCTGGGTAGGCGGTTTTCCTTCCAAAAAGAAGTGCCAGGAGCAGGAGAGCACAGGTCCCTGGTAGAGCAGAAGCCGCTAGGAGTGGGAATGAGGTCACACTGGGGAAAGGGTGGACTTCCAACAGTGGGGGTGAGGTGGGCACGGCGGGGAGGTACAGAGGGGGCTGAAGTCAAAGCTCAGCTGTCTCCAACGGCAGCTTAGAGTTGTCTCAAATCTTTCAGGATAAGAGCTAGGGCTTCCTGCTCCTTCCCTTCCTTCCTTTTTTCTTCCTTTTCTTCTCTTCTTTCCTTCTTCCCTTTAGCAAATATTTAAGTGCCTACTAAAGTGAGTTTCCACGTTAGGCTTCGGGATCGCACGATAGGACCCAGGTTCTTCATCAGAGTCTTACGGTCCAACAGAAAAAGACAGGTGTGAAACGATTTTGTCCGCAGGGCTCGGCAGGTGTGCAACAGGGACAGGCACTCAGCATGCGCTAAACTGCATACTTCACGCAGATTCCTCAATTTTTACCCAGTGTCCTTTTTCTGTCCCACGATCCCTCCCAGGGGGCCACATTACATTTAGTCATCCTGTCTCCTTAGACTCCTCTTAGCTTTGACAGTTTCTCAGACTTTCCTTGTTTTTAATGACTGACAATTTAGAGGAGTCCTGATCAGGTATATTGTAGGATGCTTCTCTGTCGGAATTTCCCTTTTTTCTCATGATTAGATTGGGTTTATAGGTTTAGGGAGGAGGACCACTGAGGTGAAGGGCCGTTCTTATCATCTTGTTAGGGGCCCTACTAGCAAGATGACTTATCACTGTTGATGTTGACCGTGACCACCTGGCTGAGGTGATGTTCGTCTGCTTTCCCTTCCATAAAGCCCCTCCTCCCCCTTCCCACACTGTGAGTGTTGGAAACCAGTCACTATGCACAGCCCACACTCAGGGAGTGGGGGTTTATGTTCCCTCTCCTCTAGGGTGGAGTGTTTATGTAACTTATTAGGAATTCTTCCACATGGGAGGTTTGTCTCTTCTCCCCGCTTTGTTGCTTTGTTAAATCATTTACTTAGATCGGCTTGGACTCATGGATATTTATTTTTTACTTTGAGTTATAATCCAACACTACTGTTATTTATTTTCTTGCTCAAATTGTTCTGGCTTTGGCCACTGGGAGCTCCTGTGCCCCTCTGACACGCCACCCCCTTTGCAGGTGCTGTGCTGTGCTGTGCTTTTTAGCACTTCCTTATTTGACTACGGGATGCTCCAGGCTTGTCTTGTCTGTTTCCTGCCCCAGTCCTAGAATCAGTCATTTCTTCAAGGAGCCCTGGTTCCTCTTCCTGGAGAATGGTATTATAAACCAAGATTTGGGTGCTAGGTGTGTTTGTTTCTATTGGAGTTTTATTTCTTTTTGGATTTCTCTCTTTTAGCAGACAGAGCCTAGAAATGTGTGTGTGCACGCATGTGCGTGCACATGCTAACTCACATGCATACACATACTTATATTTAGGTATGTAGCCATCTGTAGATACATATATTAAGTTAAACATGAGTTCTTATGTCTCCAACTCTAATCTATTATCACATGATAGAAATGTTGATTTGACCTTGCTGATCTATAACTTTACACTTCAACAGAGGTTCCTACCATCTACCATCTATTTATTCAATTGTTCAATTCTGGTATACATGTATGGCAGGATCAGAATTGTTAACCCCTCAGAATTTTGTTTTGTTTTATTCTTTTCTTGGATTAAGCATTCTCAGCTCCTTTAGCCATTTTAGGCCCCACCTCATCTTGCTCATCCTTCATCAGTTCTGAGTCTGGATTTTCTGTTTCATGGGAAATGAGCAAAGATCATTGTCTCCTTTTTTGCAAATGAGGAAAATGAACTCTTGCCAGCATTTACTCTGAGCATATGCAAGGTGCTGGTTTGAGCACTTTACATATACAACTCATTTAATCTTCACAACAACCCTATGAGCTTGGTACTGATATTGTCCCCCCATTACATGAGGAAAGGCAATAACTTGCTCAAATTCAAACAATTAATGAATAATGGAGCTTGGATTTAAAATGAAAGAGTATGACTTCAGAGTCCATACCCAGGAACATTATTTTATGTTGCATTGCTGCTAAAAGAGATCTTTCTGAAATACTGCTTTGCGCATGTAACTACCAGCCTTATGAGCCAACAGTGGTTCCCTGTTGCCCACAGGATAAAGACCCAGTATCTTAGCCTGGCTCTCAGTGCTCTCCACAATCCACAGTCAACCCTCTGCTTCAGTTTCACCAGCATGAGCAGCACGGACCCCTGGAGCATGCTCAGATACTGTGGTTTCTCCTAATCAGCATGGTCTACCTGTCTCTCCAAGCCCAGGCCAAGACCCACCCAGTCCGAACAGCACAGCCCACCCCACCTCCTGGGCTGATTACATTCACAGTGATCTCCTCTTTGTTGACGCTCACTGTCCATGTACTTGGTTTGATATTTAGCCTGGGCTATATTTGTTAAGGTGCTTGTCATTTATCTGTATAATCTCCCTGCCACATCCTCAGTGCCAGCTTGTGTTATTGGTGATGCTTATGACTCTTAATCTCCATAAACATACTTGATGGGAAGTTGAGACTCAGTGAGATTTGTGATGGCAGTATTTGCTCAGATATCGTCATTGTCCATTTGAGACAGCCAAATCCTGCAGATAGCACACCTTAGCTAATTAACTAGTGTGGTCTGAGACCATGGCCCACACTCTGTGCAGTCCCCTCTCCCTCAGACCACTTCCCTATTCCAGGAGGTCAAGATGACTCTTCTAAATAGTTCCCATCATTACAGCTCTGGGGAGGACTTAGCTGGGCTGGCTGAGATTAAGTTGGAGTGTTAGACCCAGTTGTTATTTCAGTGGGGCAAAATTTTACACAGGTGGATCTGGCCCCAGCTGTGTCTCTGCTTTGGAAAATGTCCATTGGTTCGGTAGGGGAGATCTAAAAGAAGGAGAACTCCTGGGTTTTGCTTCAAAGAGCAGAACTTCGATTCAAGCTGTAGCCTGTTGTTTGCAAAACTTTAGTCATTTCAGTGTAACCTACATGATTTTTGCCATATCAACATAGGACTCACATTCTATTTTATTTGTTTTACTTAAAGTTTAATCTCTTCCTAAATAATAATGGTCACAAAATTACAGGTTTGTTAGAACCTGTACAGTTACAGTTTTTCAAATAGCTATTAAAATAAACACATAACCATTAAATAACTGTTCATCTGTATACTGCATGCAGCATGTTGCATCCCTCCACGGTGCGCTTACCACCCTTCGAAACACACTGTTCTAGTGGTTTGGTCTTCTCTTCCCCACCGCTTTCTAGATGTGACGTCTCTTCTGATCAGGTCACTGGTGTTCTGCTGGGTTCCACTGTGGTACCTTTGGGGCCACATTGAAAGAAAAAGAGTTCCAGGCAAGGCTGTGGGCATTTCTTTTCTAAAGAATGAGAGTAGCTCAGCTTTTATTCCTTCCAACATCCAGGGATTTTGGTTAAGATTTTGTTTGAAGAAATGGTTATACTGATTTTTTTTAAAGTATGAAAACCATAGGACAAATCAGTCCAGAGTTAACACTTCTGGAAATATCATTTGTTTGGGTGGCCATCCATTCATACATTCATTGAGTATTTCCTGGAGCTTCTCTTAGCTCTTCTAACTTAGGGGTCAGGAGAGCTGGCTTCAAGTGTATCTCGTTTATTGTAATGAAACAAAATGAATTTCCAGGTAGCTTGGGATGAAGCCATGACAAGCACTATTCCAATTCTCTGCCACTTGATCCAGGTTGAGAGTAAGCCTTTGATTCAGGTCCAGAAGCCGCTTTCCAATACCAAGAACTCCAGAATGACCAAATTCTTGCATAAGGTAGGAACTATTGGTTAATGCCTTTTCTCTAGCCTTAAGAACGAGGGCAGGTGGATGGCCGGGGTAGTTTTTAACAGGCATTTTTGGTCAACTCAGCATAACGTGATCAGAGCACCCTATCCACATCACCGCACTTCATCTCCACAGTTTTTTTTTTGTTTGTTTTTTTTTTTTGAGACAGAGTCTCACTGTGTTGCCCGGGCTAGAGTGCCGTGGCATCATCCTCGCTCACAGCAACCTCAAACTCCTGGGCTCAAGCGATCCTCCTGCCTCAGCCTCCCGAGTAGCTGGGACTACAGGCATGCGCCACCATGCCCGGCTAATTTTTTCTATATATTTTTAGCTGTCCAATTAATTTCTTTCTATTTTTAGTAGAGACGGGGTCTCGCTCTTACTCAGGCTGGTTTCGAACTCCTGAGCTCAAACAATCCGCCCGCCTCGGCCTCCCAGAGAGCTGGGATTACAGGCGTGAGCCACCGTGCCCGGCCTCCACACAGTTTTAAATGTTGCAATCTACTGATAGTCAGATTACCTCTCTCCCAGTCAATCAATCAATGCAGGAAGGCAGGATCCAAGTAAGTAGGTCGAGTTAATAATGTAGCCATAGAGGAAAAGAGAGCTTATGTGGCACCAAGGAAGGTTTGTACCGTGTAGCAGAAAGTCCCGTGTCAGGGTGGTAAGATACTGGAATGATGATAACGATGGCTAGCGCGTATGGAATACTCCACATTGCTTGACTCATTTACCTCACAAAAGCCTTATGAGGTAGGGCCCATTGTTGTCCCCATGGTAATGATGAAATAGTTGAGGCTTTGGGAGTCGATGTGACCTGCCGAAGGTCTCCCGCGCTAGTGGGTGGTGGAGCAGGATTCAAACCCAGAGCCCGTGTGCTCGATTACTTTGCTGCCCTGAAATCTGCTTTTCTCTCCAGGAACTCAAGAATGGTTTAGGTCCAGATTTGGGTTAGACTCAACCTTGTGGTGAGAACGCGGCTAGAAGGAATGACCCCGAAGACATTTTCTTGCCTGAGGCTTCTGTAACTTACCCAGCTTCTCCTTCTGTAGAACGCGGACATCAGCATTACTTCACTCCCCTTCGTGGACACCAAGGGCAAGAAGAATATGGTCAACTTCCCAAGCATTAGCAACAAAATCCTGCTGAAGCCACCTCTGCTGTATCAGGTGAGTACAGGGCAGCGGACATGCCCTTGAGCATGCAGGTGGAAGACCTGATTTTAGTCCGAAACCAAGTTTAGAAAGGCCCAGGGTGGTGGGGAAATGCACAGCGTCAGCTTCAGAGTTGAGTTCTAGCCCTGATCTCACTTTTTACAAGAAATATAAACTTAAGCAAGCAAGTCATTGCCCTCCTCTCATCTTCAAAATGGGCTCTCTGTAGGGTTGTCGTGAGGATTCACTGAGGAAAGGAAAAATGAAGTTCTGGTGTATAAATGGTGGGACTGTACAAAATACTATTTTCTTCCCGTGTCACCTACTCTTTCTGTGTAAGCACCAAATGAGATAACGTGGGAAAGTGCCAAGTTAAAGAGTGTTAAACACGCATAAGTTCAAGTTTATCTGTCTTTGTATGAGTCACTTGATCTAGTTGTGAGCTGGCCTTTTCAAGAGCAGCAGTAAAAACTGTCCCTGTCTCTTCCCGCTGTGAGATGTCGCTGGGCTTGTCAGCTGCTCACTGTGCTGTGCATGGGTCTCTTGGGGAATGATGCGAGTCAGACAGATACTTCCTTTGGGAGAAAGACTGGGAAAACCTTCTGTCTCTTAGTTACTGTTTTCTCCCTAGAGAGGTAGAAAAAGTGCCTGGCTGGATGTGGGTGTCCTTGGCCAGGTAAATGGTTTATGATGGCCAGGAGGAGCCTTAGTGGCTCTTTATTGCAAACCTCTTTTTCTGTACAGGAGACTCAAACTCACAATCAGATGCCATCCTCTGAGCTCCAGGTTTCAGAAATGCCTCTCCACTCTAGCATTAAAATCCGGCACCCCAAGTCGGAGGAGAAGCCACCAAGGAAGCACAAGGTGCCTCTGACGGCGGCAGGTACGCCTCTGGGCAGGAGCAGGGTGTGTGGGGTGGTTATGGACGGGCAGGGCGTCCAGAACCGAGCTGAGCTGGAGAGGCCTAAGCTGCCAGGAGCCTGAGTAGTCGATTAAGGCAATGAGCCAAAAGGAAAGTAGAAGTCAGGCCTTTAATCTCTTTCTGAGATCGTATAAGCAAGAGGCTAAATGGGACGCGCCAGCTCTGCACTGTTCCATTTCCCCCCACGGACTGGCACTAGGCCGGCGCAGATGTATCAGCACGGAGGGACTTGTCTCGCTGCCTCGGGGCCCAAACTAAAGATTCCTGTTCATTTTATGGGCCCAGGGGCCAGGGGAAGGAAGTGAGGGGGAAGAGCTGGGAGTAGAAAAGTACTGAATGCTGATTCAGAGCAGAGCAGAGGAGGCTGAGGAAGGCCTGCGGCTGGGGTCTGGGCTAGGAATGCAGGGGTGTGTAGGAGCCTGGCCAGCAGGGGCCCAGGCCTTGGCTGCAGCTCCCTTCAGAGGCTGCACTGCATTGGCTGCGCACCCCGTGAGGCCTGCCAGGTAAAGCCTTTGTAATTGCCCGTGGCTGGGCCTGAAAAGTCACAGATTGGGTTTTGACCAGGAGCCAGGCTCCTCACTGGGTTCAAAGACTCATAACCTGTTAGGATTCAAAGGGAGGAAGCCAAATCCACTGAGCACCTACTGTGCGCCAACACCACCCAATGCTTGGAGCTCCTTCTACCACAGCTTTGAAATTGAAATTGGTTGTCCTTCTTAAGCAATCTCAGGAACTACTCACAAGGAGTTAATTTCAGTTTGGAGCTAATTCTACCTTTTCAGAGTTGATATCTGCCTCCCTGCTATCTGAGACCTTCGTTATGTCCTCTGGGCAAAGAATATGCCTTATTCAGCGTGCACATGGCTGCCCTTCACATGTATGAAGACAAGTGTCTTGTCCCCCAAAAGTCTTTTTCTTCTCCTCACACTTCCTTCTCCAACTCTTTAGCAGTTTGTCAAATAACATGGTGCCCCTGCCCTAATCCTGGTTTCTCTCCTCTGAGAATGTTCCGGTTTATCTATTCAAGTGTGAATTTCGCCCCCTGACCAAACCGGGTCCCCAAAGTGACCTGGCCAGTGTGGAGTAGAGAAGTGCTGACTCACAGTCCCTGCTTCAGTCTGGGGCGCTCGCTGGCTCGGCCGCAGGTCTACGCGGGAATACCCCGGGCCTTTTAAGTTGCATTTATGTTGCCTCTCTGGCCCCTGGGGACATTATAGTTTTCAAAGCCTCTCAAGATACACTAGTTGTGGAGCCTAATAATTCCACATGAACTTGGGAAAATGCCACCTTAACTTCTGGAATTTTTATCCACGCTGCTCTAACCCACAGGTCTTTGGCGACTAAATACTCCCCTTCCCTGCCTTTGTGTTTTCCTTTTGGTTTGTTGAGGTCGGCACAAGACCTTATCACATTTCCACCTTGGGAGAGTCACACTGTGAGCCGAGGGGCAGAGGCTGGAAGGGGTGCCGTCGTCTGTGCCCCAGCTTAACTGACAACTGCAGTGTTTTTCACACAGAGGCTCTCAAGGTTTTTAGGAAACAGCTGTCTGCTTACGAGCAAAGCGAAATCCTGGGCTACACAGAGATATGGTTCCTGGGGCTTGACGCCCAGAAGCTCAACGTGGCTGCTGAGAAGTTCAGCAAGACAAGTTTCGATGATGAACATGGCTCCTATATGAAGGTGATGGGGAAGGGGGCGCCAGGACTTCAAGGGGACTGGGGACAAAAGAAAGTTGAAAGGGAAAAAGCAGAGGTATTTTATTGAGTTTGGTGTTGATATATCGGGGACTAGACGTCCTGAGGAATTCTAGTAGGTGCTTAACCAAAGAAATACCATGTTCATAAGTGGAGAAACATGCAATTTAATATGTAAATACTCTTCTGACGGGAGACTGATTTTCCCTGAGAGTTTTTGGGGTAACGTCTGCATCCTGGGTGACCTCCCACGACCACCTCCCCTGCACGACCCGATGGAAAAGGCCAGACAGAAGTAAGATGCCATCTCCTCAACAGTCCTTTTTTGTCTCCTCTTTACAAGCCCATACATGGATGCTTTTCTATTTCATAGGAGATCTCATTTCCCCCACAGACAAAAGATGTTTTTGTCACTGCAGTCCCTGGTGCATACTGCTTAATGTCACTCTGTTTTTAAAAAATCGATCCTCACAAGTCTTCTTCTGGCTGTACCCCTGGGCTGCCCTAGGTGCTGCCTCTGCCCAGCCTGAAGGGAAATCTGGGCAGTGGTCCCCACCTCTGGGGGTGCCTGGAGGTGTGGTGCTTAGTCCTCTGGGCTGCGGGCTGCTGGGAATTTCCTCTTCTGGACATTGCATCACAGCTTGGTTTTAGGAGACAGGATGAGTCTTTGGTGGCTTTGTAGAAGAAGTAGATTTTCTTAACAGCATTTAGGGCTGTGTTTCTCAAGCTTTGCTATGCACAAGAATCATTCGGGGATCTTGCTTAAATGCAGATCCTTACCTGACAGGTCTGGGGTGGGGCATGAGATTGTGCATTTCTGAAGAGTTTCAGGTGATGTCCGTGCTGCTGGTCCTTGGAGCACACTTTGAGAAGCAAGGATTTAGTTTCTGTCACACAGCTCTGTCTAGAGCCCTGGTTCTCGACATTTTTAGGTCAAGGATCCCTTCGGGAGTCTGATGAAAGCTATGGGTCCTCATCCCAGAAAAGTCAACCTGCACATACACAAAGTTTTAGGGGATTAATCGATCCTTGGTGAAGAATCCCCAATACAAACCTAACCTCCAGTTCAACCAGACATCCCCCACTCCCCCACCTGAGCCCAGAGTCTCTGGGAAATTCCGTAGGGGTGTGAGCACAACCTTTAAGTTAATTCACTGGAACTCCGTTTCTCGGCATCAAATCTTGGAGAGCTGTTTTGGTGGGGAAAGAGGGATGATGTGTGCCTCTGCATGCTGTACTCTCGTCCCTATTGCATTCCAGTGCACACACAGTGCACTCATCCTTCACCCCTCCCAAAACCATGACTGTAACTCCAGAGATCAGATTCACAGAGCCTGGGGACTTTACAGATCATTTTATCCAGAATCTTCAGTTTACAGATGTGGGCACTGAAGCTCAGAGTGGATGAGTAGCTTGTCTGAAGCCACCCAGCTGATGTCTTTTTAACTGAAAATGTTCTGTGGCTTTGACTAAACACCTGCTCCCTGGTTCCCAGCACAGGAGGGACATGGTGATTCTGGGTCTTGGAAAATATTTCTCTTCCTATTCAAGAAAAGCCCAAGTTCTGTAGCCCTGACTCCAGGATAGGATTAAATCTGTATGAGTCCAGGGGAGAACCAAATCTGGCTAGAAAGAGGTGGAGTGGACGTAACGCCTTCTCTGATTGATGCAGACACATCACAGGTCAGAAATGGAACTTTCCTCAAACTGGAGCTGCTGCTCAACTTCAAGAGTCATGAAATGTCCAAACTGGAAGGGACCTTCAAGGCCACCTTGTACAACCCTCTTACTTTACAGGTCCTAAGACATGCAGAAAACCAGAGGACCAGGACTAGAACTCATATTCGCAATGACCATTTGATCTTCTTTGCCCTGCTTGACATGGATCAAGCCTGTGGGACTTTCCATGGTATCACATGGGTGGCCTGGGAGCCAGGTGACAACCTAGCCATTGCAGTAGCCATGAGATGAGGTGGGGCCCCAGGGGCCCCAGTGTCAGGGAAGCCCTCCAGCTTGCAGCTCTGCTCCTCACCCTGGCCTGGCTTCTGCAGGTCCTGCATGACCACATTGCCTACCGCTACGAGGTCCTGGAGATGATCGGGAAAGGGTCCTTTGGACAGGTGGCCAAGTGCTTGGATCACAAAAACAATGAGTTGGTGGCCCTGAAAATCATCAGGAACAAGAAGAGGTGTGGCTTGGTGGGTGGCATAGGCCATAGAGGAGAGAAAGGACAGCATGACTCTGGCCCCTTTGGAATTCCAGCCCTTCCTGACTCCGCCTCTCCCTCTGATCTTCCTCTTCCTCTTCCTCTTTCTCTCCCTACCTCTCTGATTCCATGGAGGGGCAAAGAGGAGGCGAGAGTGTGGTGATTTTAGAGTTTTTAGTGCTTGCTGCCACCCTAGACAGTCTTGTTGGAGCATGGGGAGGGCTGAATGTCGTGGCATGACATGACATGACACCGTGTTCTGTCCCCATATCCCCTTCCCACCCCCGGCAACTCACCAACCTCCTCAGGTTTCACCACCAGGCCCTGGTGGAGCTGAAGATCCTGGAAGCTCTCAGAAGGAAGGACAAAGACAATGTGTACAACGTGGTGCACATGAAGGACTTCTTCTACTTCCGCAATCACCTCTGCATCACCTTCGAACTCCTGGGGTCAGCTGTTGTTTCTTAACTCATTTTTCTTTGAAAAAGTTGCTTAAGTGGTAGAAGAGAACCTTTGAGGTCAGAACACTAGATTTTTCTGGTTGTGAATATTTAATGACTAGAGTGGACAGAACAGCCACTCAGTCATCTAGAAAGCCCAGGAGCAAGGAGACTGGGACAAAAGTGGCCCATCTCACGCCTCCTTTGGTAGGCCTGTCACCTGCCAGTGTACCATGACACCATGCACATCATGATGCGCTGCTGGGTGCCGAGCCTGGTGATGTGAACAAAACAAGGCCTCTGCCCTCAAGAGCTAAACCGAAATATGTAGAAAAGACTCTCCTCTGCCACTATTTTCCCTGTGGTGCGGAGGTTGGAACCCCAAAAATGGGCAGCTGGCTGCTCAGAGTGGGGAGAGGGCTTTGATTTTGAGCGGATAAGGACAAGAGCAGATATATTTGGCATGAGAGCAGAACCTGACTTAAATAGATTGGCATCGGCTGGCTGAAGATGGGAGCTGAAAAGACACGCTAATCGGAAGGGCATGCTAATTTCGTTATTTTTCTCTCTGAGATCATCTGATGCAATTTAAACAAAACTAGAAACCCAGAATGCATTTAGCAAAGGGGATAATCAGAGGGAACTCTCAGAGGTCCAGTGTTACTGGAATCAGCAAGCTGGTAGCTTAGTGCTTCTGTGACACCAGCGCTGATGGGGGGATTCTGGGAACCGGCTAAACTTGGATCAGAAGGAAAGTTGACACTCTCACCATCATCACTGGTGATTACAAAATGTGGTCTACCCCTTGATGGGCAGAGGCAAACCCTCTTCCCTGCAGCCAAGCAGACAACCCAGGCTGCGCTTTCTTGGCTATGAGTCACAGTGCACAGTTAGGATGGCACTGTCCTTAAAAGAGCTCTGGGAGTTCAAGAGGGGCAGGGGTGTGGAGGGACAATGCAAAGCCCAGAGTTGGGGTGGAGCCAGAGTCAAATGTCACATCCATCCCCATTGTACCCCTCAGGAATGAATGGCTTTCCAAACACTGCCAGAGTTCGATGACCTTAGAAATGGGAGGTTAGGGGGAACCAGCAAGGAGTTGGTGCAGAGTCACTTCTGGGTCATGCTCTTTCCCTTCTCTCCCCATCTCTCAGTTTGCACTGAGGTCACAACTGGCAGCTCGCAAATAAGTGTTTCTTTTTGAAATGCTTTGTATTAATTTCCAACATTTATAAATCGGTGGATTTTATATAATATGGCAGGCTTCTCTATAATATTGCTGGCTTCTGCCACCCTGGAGAATTTAGAGTTATCTGGCAACAGTCTGATGGGACCAAGCAGCCACCTTGCTTGGGTGGAGGAGAGGCTGTCTGTCTTGTTCAGCCCCGCGTGCCCACGCTCTCGCTCCCTTACTTCTCAGGAGCCTGGAGGCCTTCGATAGCCTTACTAGGCCCTTACTAGGCCCAGGCAGGAGTGGCTGCTGGAGTGACTAGTGGCCTTCCTGGATCCCTCCCAAGGGCCCAAAGAACTATGAGTATTGCAGAGGTTTGGTCCAACCTCTTAACCCACACATGTAACAAAGTGCTTCAGTGGCCTTGTCACATAAGAAATGAGGGAACATCCAAGAGGCCAGTGCAGTTGAACTTCAACCTGGGGTAACTCAGTGGGGAAGCCGGATTGGTAGGATGGGAAAGCCCCGCCTCCTGGCCTGAGGCTTGCCTACCAGGAGAGGGAGGGAAACCACACCGCACTGGATTGTTTGCAGACGGAAACTCAGCATTAAACTTTTTGCACCAGTACGCATCACGTTTTCCCTCTCTTTCCCAGAATCAACTTGTATGAGTTGATGAAGAATAACAGCTTTCAAGGCTTCAGTCTTTCCATAGTTCGGCGTTTCACCCTCTCTGTTTTGAAGTGCTTGCAAATGCTTTATGTAGAGAAAATCATTCACTGTGATCTCAAGCCTGTGAGTACAACCTCTGTCCTGTCATGTGGGCAGGTTCCCACCTATGGAAACTCTTTGTCCTATTGCATTCATTTCCTAGAGGTAGCTGGGGCAGCCAGTGCTTCTAGGGTGGAAGCCACGCAGTGCTGTTTATAGGTTGTGTAAGCCCAGTGAGCTGCAGGAAGACAGAACGAAGGCATGAATATTGGGGAAATGAAGAGAGATGTGGTGCGATTGAGCCAGACAGGGGCAGGAAGGTCTGAGGGCTTTCCTAGGGAGGGCTTGGGGTGTGGTGTCTTGAGTATCGAGAGGTACAGCAAGAAGTCCGGGGATTCTGGGTTTACCCTTTTTGCCCTTTCTCAGTGGGAAAGTCAACAGTCACCTGTAGCCATTAGGAGCTCTACCCAGAGACCTTGAGTTCTCCCTCGTGCGCTCTGCAGTGACGTGTGCCACGCAGACAGATGGGCTGCCCAACTCTACTAAAGCCTCACTGTGCCCACTGAACTCTGAGTTGGTCCTAGGGTACTGTGAACCTCAGACCACTTTCTCTACCCCAATTGGATGGGAGCTTCCTACATGTCCTGCTGGTACTCTAAGCTCTGTTATTGCACTGATGGCTTGTGTAGGAATGTATCTTTTATCCATATGCCTCCCTGGACTGCAAGCTCTCTCAAGGTCAGGCACCATGTCTTTTCACTGTTTTGTTCCCAGGACCTGACATGGTGCCTGGTAATAGCAACGGTAGGCTGTAAGTAAATGCTTGTTAAATGACTTAATGATTACAAATGTGAGGAAGTCACACAGAGAGATAGCTGGTGGCAAAGTATAAGGAGCTGGTTCCAAAAGCAACCTGACCCTCACAGTTATGTGAATATCCCTTACCTCTTCCTCACTGCAGTCTCCCTGTCCCCAAAAATGGTTAAAAAAATTTTTTTGAAGACTGTAACTCATTGGGTAAATTGCAGGTTTATAATTAAAGATTGTCAAGCTAGAGATGTTCTCTCAAAGCAGACTGGTAGAACCTCATGAGGACAGTGGTGCATTCATTTATTCTCTACATCCAAGTTCCTAACCCTCAGCTTTGCAGCTCCTACGGGTCATAACAGCTGTGGTCATTGGGCTTAGGGGACTGACTCTTACCAAGGAAATTCTGATAGTCAAAGTGTCAGGTAACAAGTTTCCTCCAAGAAATATTAATAGATTAAGTAGCCTGGAATATGGGTGCCCCTGGAGGGAAGTATGCACACAGCCCGGAGACTGTTTTGTGAGTGTGGAGTCAAGAATCAGGGAATTATTCTCATGGACTTAATGGTTAGTATCAATGAGCTATGATTGCCTATTGCAACCATTCCTTCTATAGTGCCATTTCTGCCAGTACGACGGGAAGGCCAGTCCTTCTAGTTAGGGAGTCTTTCTTTCTTTTTTTTTTTTTGAGATAAAGTCTCACTCTTTTGCCCGGGCTAGAGTGCCGTGGCATCAGCCTAGCTGACAGCAACCTCAAACTCCTCGGTTTAAGCAATCCTTCTGCCTCAGCCTACCCTTTCCATTGTGCTAGAGACACACTAAAGATTCCTGCTCTTTTAAAGCTTTTCCTGATTATCCTCCTCCAGTGAAGACAGCATTCTTTAGAAAAGGGACTATGGGCTAAATTTGTACTCTCTTACTTTGTGGTGCCAGGGCCTTCAGACCAGGCCTGCTATGCCGTATCTACCATGTCAGGGTACTCAGTAAGCAATCTCATAATTAGTTCATCTGATACTGAGATCTGTGAAAACATGATTGGGACTTGAATCTTCAGCCTTAGCCAGTGCACTTTCATGCTAAGAGGAGAGCCCAGAGGCTCTGTCTTCTTATTGCTGACTCTATTGAAATACCTGGTTCACATTTTCCCCACAGTCAGCATAAGAATCACGAATCCAGGGGAGAGGGGGGAGGAGGGGACGGGTATATGCACATACAAAGAGTGCGATGCGCACCATCCGGGAAATGGACACGCTTGGAGCTTGGACTTGGGGGAGAGGGGGGGCAAGGGGAACAGATGTAACCTAAACATTTGTACCCCCATAATATGCTGAAATAAAAAATAAAAAAAAAAGAAATTAGATGTTCAGCAAAACAATCTTACCAAAACTGGTTTAATGAAACATATTTTTTTTATAAAAACACTCTATTCAATATTAAAAAAAAATCACGAATCTCAATCAAATCATTGCCTTTAACAAAACTGGTTTAATGAAACATATTTTTTTATTAAAAACACTCTATTCAATATTAAAAAAAAATCACGAATCTCAATCAAATCATTGCCTTTAAAAGTTTTTTTTGTGGTCTATTATCATAGCATTATGTTAGTGGGGGCCTTTAATGGAGATGTCAAAGAGATACAGTCAGTGACATTTTTAAGGCCTTATGTAAGCAAGGCCTAGAACCAGGCCCCAAAGAGGATAAAAATAAACTTGTAATCTTCAGGAGTTATACAATCAATATTCCAATCAAATCATTGCCTTTAAAAGTTTTTTTTGTGGTCTACTATCATAGCATTATGTTAGTGGGGGCCTTTAATGGAGATGTCAAACAGATACAGTCAGTGACATTTTTAAGGCCTTATGCAAGCAAGGCCTAGAACCAGGTGCCAAAGAGGATAAAAATAAACTTGTAATCTTCAGGAGTTATACAATCAATATGGGGAAAGAGACAAAGCACATTCAAAAGAAACTCTGCAAAGCAGTGAAAACTGGGTCCAAATAAGAGGTGCAGACCTCGAGTCAAATGGGAAGGCACAGGAAGGGGAGGGCAGTGAGATTTGGGGAGGATGTGGAAGGAGGCCTTTGCAGGTGGACGTGTTTGAATTGGGCCCTGAAGGATGGGGAGCATTTAGGTAAGCTGCAAGCCTGGGGCAGCACTATTACAGCTTGATGCACATCTTTTCTTCTCTCTAGGAAAATATAGTGATACACCAAAAGGGCCAAGTCTCTGTTAAAGTCATTGACTTTGGATCAAGTTGTTATGAACACCAGAAAGGTAGGCCCCCGCCAGTTCTTTGTCTGAGTTTCCTGTTGCATTTCTCTCCCTTCACACGTGAGGTCCCTTGGGTTCTAGCCTGGGCTCAGCCAGCACAACTGCCAGTGTGACTTTGAACAGGTGCTTCACTTCTCTGAGCCTAAGTTTCCTCATCTATAAAATGAGAAAGTTGGGTTCAAATACGATAAGGGCCCTTTGAAGCTCTCATACTCTGTAGACATTGAATTACCCAAGAGCACTGGGTCCCAAAACTAACTAGGTGTGCATCAGAATCACTTTGGGGCTCTGAAAAACTGTAGTGTCCAGGGCCTCACCCCAAATGTACTGAGTCCAAATTTCTGGGGAGTAGCTAGGAGTCTGCACTTTGGAAAACATAGCCATTCTAAAGTTTGGAATCCACTGCCCTAGATTCCTAGGTTTCTTACTTGTTTTGGAGCTAGAGTCCATAAAGTAGCTCTGGAGTACACTTTGCACAGCCTATACTGAACCTGATTTAATAGTCTGTTCCTTTGGCTTCTGTCAGGTGTGACACAGAGAACATGTACCATTCGGCAAACATTTACTGAGTATTTGCTGTGTGCCAGCCACTCTCCTGGGTACCAGGAACAAAACATGAACATTTCCTATCCTCAAGTTGCTTAGGTCTAATGCAGGAGGTAGAACGAGAAAAAGATAATGCAAGCTGGGTGTGGTGGTGCATGCCTGTAGTCCAGCCTGGGTGACAGAGCAAGACCCTGCCTCTAAAATATTTTTTGAAAAAATAATACATAATACAATGGATGCTATGATTGGAGATACACACAGGCTATGTTCAGGGCACACAGAAGAGGGACTTGGGGACAGCCTTTATGGTGGCAGGGGGTGTCAGAAGAAGCCTCCTGAGGCTGAGGAAAGGACTACCAGGTGGATGTTTCCAAATACTCTGCAGAACCACTTCTGAGAACATATGTCCTTTATATCTTCTATGTATGAATCCTATAAGAAATTCCAGCTAGAAAACAACGCTTCCCACAGAGATCGTCTGTGTTTATGCTTCAAAGATACTGAAAGCTGTGTAATCTGTTAGTTACCGTTTATCTTGGCTGCCAGGATGCTCAGAACTGAATTTAAAATTATTTTATCCTTGTTTTTTGACAGTTATTAATATTTCCCCTTTTACATACTTGCTGACTTTCCTGTTATCTTTATTTTAACTGCGAGGCAGTATGGAGTGTGGATACTAGAATTGGACTGCCTGGTTTCGAATCCTAGCTCTGTCACTTATAGCTGAGTGACCTTGACAATTTATTTAACCTCTGTATGCCTTAGTTTCCTCATATTTAAAATGAAGGCAATAATACTACCTGCTGCATAGGATTGTTGCAAGGGCTGAAAGAGCTCATCTGTATAAAGCACTTGGAATGGTGCCTGGCACGTGTTAAGCACTAGGTAAATATCATTAAATTCACGTTCTAAGACACCCTGTGCTTTGCAAAGTACCTCAAATCCATTTGGGAAGCAGACAAAGCATAAAAGTTACTTTTATTACATCTTTATTTTGTTTTAAATCACAGAATGATTGTGTCCTTAAAATAACCAGTTTAAAGTGAGTAAGGAGTCTCTGCCCCTCATGTAACCGCCAATACAGTTATGTAGAAATAACTATAATGTCCCATTTCTTCAACTTCAGTCTCATCTATAAATTCTGGTCTCCCTACAATGCTGTCTTCCATTCATCCTTATCTACTGAAATTTTGTTGAGCTTTTCTTTCTATATTTCATATTATATA